TCCAGCACACGGCGGTAAGGGCGTCACTGCATTCCTGCCCCAACGTCCTTTTTGAAGCATGTGCTAATAACTACAAACAGAGACAGGCCCTGTGACTTGACTCAGTACTAGCATTTTAGTGTATTACACAGGCCATTTACAAAAGCAGCACTTTCAAGGATAAAGATGAAATCTTGGGTTTACCGAAGCCAGCAAAGTAAGAATTTTAATTAAAATCTATTCTAATACATCTAAGTGTATTCCACAGCCATGCCATTTATGAAGGAAAAAAAAAATCTCCTTAAAAGAATATGCTGTTTTCAAATGCTAAAAAGTGAGTTAAACACACCCTGCAATATGAAAAGAGAGAAAAAGGTTTCTTTACAGTACCTGAGTAGGCCGAGTGGTTTGTATCATATCTTGCCATTTGCCATATATCCTAGCAACTAAGTCTTTCACCTGCAAATTCAGATCAATTAGTTTAGCCATTTACATTAAAAAAAGCCAAAATCATACTCCCTGTCTCCCCCCAGCCCCAAACCCATGAAAGCCCAGATAACCCAACACCCAAGGTTTACTGGAAGGGAACAATTTTACATCTGGCACAAAGTATCACCACCTCAACTCCAACCAGATCCCTGTAATTTGGGGCTCTGAATTCAAAGTCACGTACTCCACACAAACACATTACAGGCACACGACTCCCCATGTTAAGTGTTTGGAATCAGCACACAAGCCTCTGGCCTCCAAACACCCACCTCATCCTTCGGGTGAGTCAGGCTTGTTACACAAGACTGACTGTACCTAGAAGAGGTGCCTGCAACTGCAATCACAGAAGGCAACTATGCAGCACTGTCTGCTACTGAAATTAATTCCTTATACATAAAAGTGTGCTTTTTCGTAACCAAATCACAAGCAGGTGTTTAATCCAAGCCATTCAGAACTGAGATTTGCTTCATATGCTGTGTTAAAACCCAGCACAGTGGCGTCCTCTGGAAGTTACGGCAGGGGAAAAACAGAGTAAGATTTTCCCCTCTCAGTTCAAGGGCAATAGAAACAAAAGTGAAAGTGACCCGAGATACAAAAATCCAAGGCAAGAGTAATTAACTTGTTAAAAGGATCCATGCTCTACTAATCTGGCTGAATAAAAAAGAAAAATCTTCTTGAGAGGTAAGGATGCACACAACTGCAAATGTTCGATTTAAAGCTGAAAAAGCCAAGGCTTTCCAGAGTTGAGGTCGGTCACTTTACCACTGATCTGATTTAGCTTGCTATGACAGCATGCAAAGCATGAAAGTCACAAAATTAAGACTATCGTTAGTAAGCCCCACACCACAAAGCAAATGAAAGGCAATTATCCAAACTTGATGCTACATCACATACACTGTTAGCTTAAATCCACAACATTTTTAACTCATTAATTTGAAAAGAAAACAAAAACACGTGCAAGATAGGATAGGTTTTCAGTCCTCTGTATCCTGTCCTGCATGTAGCCTCTGCTCTTAAAAAGTAGAGTCAACTATCAGTGACTACCAAGAAAAGAAACAGAGCAACTCTGTGGGTCTAAAAGTTGAGATGCCTGGCGAAAAGGAAGACAAGCTCACATTTTACAGTTGTCGAGTCCTGTTGTTAGCAAGAGGAGCATTTTTAGTGCATTAAAATGGGCATATACTTATGTACATGCAAAGACACGATGCAGACAGAGAAACCAGAAAAAAAAACAAACCCATAAGGAACTCTTAGAATTTCCAGGGCTGGGATGAGGGAACAACACACATCAAGAACAGTAAAAACCACTCTAAAACAAACAAAAAAACCCAGCTTACATGTCTTACCTTAGTTCGATAAAACAGCCTTGCATCTTCTCTAATATCACATTTTATATGCTTATCTAAGGCACCACAAAGCTTCAGTAAGTGTTGCTGAATAAAGACAAAAGTGTACAGCTATTTAAATCCTCCATGTCAAAACTAAAAGCTGTCTTCAAATATTATTTCAATTTAAAAATTATATGCTTCAGTTTGCATTTTTCTCAGAAATATACAGTAAGGAAGGGGGAAAAGAAAGAAAACAAGATCACAAGATCCTCTATCACTTGCTGGTATGCACCCGGTAAACCAGGTCTAAGAGCTTTAAAAAATAGTCTCAAAGTATAGCAGAGCTATGCATCGCAAATTTTAAAGTTCCTGCTAGCTAATTTGTAAGTCTTCTGTCCGAAGTAGCAAGCACCGTGCCATTCAGATCTTTTATCAGCGAAAAAAAGTTCTGAAGTTACTACAGATAAAAATAACCTTTTCAGTAATCATAACTCAGGTCATTTTCTTTTGTAGGGACTGGCTGAGCAGGTAAAACATATCCAAGGCTTATGCACTGATCTTTTATTTCTCTCTAAATTTCTGATTACTTTAATAAAGCTGTTTTGCAACTTTGTAATCTTTTGATAATGGCTCCTAAGATCTGTCGCATTCTGTGAATTTCTTCATAAAATTCCTATTTCCAGTCCCTCACTGAACAGCTGCAAAGAGGCTCTGCTCTGCAGAACAGGTGAGACATGCTGAAATTCTACTTATAAACATTTGATGGTGTCTCAAGATCATGACAATTCACCCCATCTAACTGGAAGAGAACCAGAAATGAAATAGTTATATCGATCTTATACAAAGTCTAGCCTGAACAATATTCAGCCACACCCCTCTTGCCACTTGATGGCTAACAGGTCAGTGAATAATGGACTCTTTCCTCATTAAGAAATACAGAGAAATTAAAAAAAAAAAAAGATCAGGTTCTCCACAGATCTTCAGAAAGACAGTTGTAAAAAACAAATCTCAAAAGATCATCACAATATAATCATTTTCTTTACCAAAGATGATTTTGTTTCAGATTACACTCTGTGATTATCTTTTTGCATTGAGTAGGAAACTGAGACACTTAAGCCCCAAAATGTAACCAAACATTACTGCTTTACCTCTCTCAAACAGTTCATATGACAGATTTCTTAAAAGCCAAGACTGATTCCATGGGGCAGAAGGTGTACACAAACACCTTGCAGCAAGCAACTCACAGCAAACGATCACAGAAATCTGAATAGGATTACTGAAAGGCTAAGCAGAAGGTATTACTTAACATGTTCACATCACGTGGCGCAAAGGAACTGTCATTACAGAGAACAGAAGAGATACGGTCCTAGCTTTCACTTGCTGCATGGCTGTACTCCAGCACAGAAAACCATGACGTGTTTCAACGTATTTTACTGCATATTTTCAAAGTGGTTTTCTTCTAGACTGAAAAATTTCAACCCTACTTCAAAAATTCATAGGATCATTGCACTTTCTGAGAAAGACTAACAAAATAAATTTCTGCTGATCCACGGCCTTACATTTTAAGGTAGTTCAATTTGCAGAAATGCAGAAGAGGTTTCTTTCTCTGCAGTAAGTGCAGAGAAAGCTCTTCTGCATTTACTTTGCCCCGGAACAAAAGTCTCCCCCAGTGTTATTAGCCACTGGTGATCTTCTATCACATGATAGCTCTTACCAAAATAGACCAAGTATGCATGATAAGCAGTCTTCTAAAATCTAAAGACCGAGCCACTGAAGTTACTTACCCTTTGATTAGAATTTACAACATCAAAGAAACTAGCTTCACTGACTAGATGAAGGAGGATGTAGATTAGGTAGTATACCTGGAGAGAAATCAAGAGCTTTAGCTGTCAAAGCACAATCATACCTCTTCACATCTAGATACGGCACTATCTTTGCTTTCTGGAATGATTTTTCCAACAGCCAGATCAATGGACAAGTATGTCTACACATTTGCCTAAATAACTGATTTGAAACAGTACATTCATATGTTAGAAACATTTTAAAACAGTATTACACTGTTTTATGTTACCTAAGTAACATAAAAAACTTTCTGTAGTTTTAATTACTGAAAATTAAATTCAGCAGTTGGCTTTATTTTCCCATCATCTACATCCAGATCAAAATGCTTGCTAAGAGATTCCATGATAGATGCAAATAACCAAACCAATATTCAATTTTTGGATGAATGGAAATAGTAAATCTTTCTAATATTTCTTTATGAGAAAAGGTTCATAAAAGATTCATAAATCTCTTTTTGAAGCCTGCAGGCGAAGGTCTGGCTCAGCATCAGCTTCCACTGGTTACATCAGAAGGAAGAGAGGATGGTCCTCCGATTACAGAGGACAGGACTCATGACGTCCATGTGACTTAGCCATTCAGAAAATCTGATGGATTTCCCTGTTTGTAAAACAGCCTAATACAGCTTCCTCCATCACATGCTACTTCTTTCCTTCCTCCATGACTATAATCAAAATTGAACACGAGTAGTATTTTAATTATACAGATGAACAGCAACAAAATAGTGTACACACAGTTCCACGTACAGAACTGCCCTCAGTTAACAGAATTAAAAGAAACATTCTCAAAATTGTAGAAGATGGATAAAAAGACCAATGCAAAAAAGCACTATCAGCTATGTACCTCCTGTTCTAGTTCTGTATCAAGGTGGTCTCCATCGGCATTCTGCTGCTCCAGTCCTTCTCCCATCTTCTTTAGTAGATTAGAAGGTTTCATGTACACCAGAAACTGATGCAGAAGAGACATCTACAGATACAAACATTAATGAATTGGACTGGTTTACTGGCAACAGAAAATTGGAAACCGAGTGCCACTACACTATTATTTGTCCACTAAGACAAGAACATAAAAGGGATTTTTAATTAAAATGGAAGTTTTCATGCTTTAGGTAATTTTTGACTATTCACAAACTAAAGCATTTGTACATTGCCTCAATAAAAGATCAGCCCTACGAAAACAAAGAGTGACTCTACATGAACACAAAAGGAAGACTGAAAGAGGTGTAAACCTCTTTCCAACGTCCAAAATGAATGTTTAGGCAGATAAACAATACTGCACTTACAAGCTGCAGAACACTCAGGTTACACATGTTGCAAATATACTTTTAATACTAACCTAAACTAAAAATTACTAACTGGTCATTTTGCAAGGTTCTTGAAAATAGGCCTACATTATTAAAACATAAAACCCGAACACAATAATATACATGCTTTCTAAACTCTCAAATTATACACACACAACACATATATGCAGTACCTGCTTGTCACTGTCATCAGGTATTTCTATATCCTTTTTATTAAGAAGCTTTGAAATTATCACTAGGCTAAGACGTCTTCTTACTTCCCTGAAAAACAATTAAGAAAATTATTTCCCAGAGAATTTCTTAAATCTACAGTTTCTACAAAGTGTATGAGGCTATGCATGGCTTCCTTAGACATAAACTTGCCTACAACTATTAAATTAGATTTTCTGAATATAGGTGCTATTAAACTAGAAAAAGGCTAGTAAAATATAAGTACCCTTATCTCATTTCAGCTGTTCTTCTGCACAAGTAACACTGTTAGATGCTTGCCTCCAAGCCTGAAATTGAGGACCCAATTCATTCTCCTTGCTCAGATACGTTACAATTTACTCATTTCAAAGATACAAAACTCGTAACAGATTGACACTTAAAAGCAGACATGAATCACCCAAAGAAAATTTACTTTTTAGTCACTTAGACAAGAATTAAGAGTAGGTGATGGATGTCAGAATCTGAAGTTTTTAAGTGTTTCTTTACTATAGGGCATCAGGAAGTCTGCAGCCCAGAAAACTACACATAGAATGTAAAATAACCCTTTTCCACAGCAGAGGTGATCAAGAAGCTATATATACACACAATAAGAATTGCATATACATCTGTAATATATGAGAAAACCCAAATACTTTTTTTTTTTTAAAGCACCATGTAATACCTATTGCATTTATCAGACTTTGAGCTTATACAAATAAATCAGCTGTTAATGATACAAATAAATTAGTTGTTAACGATACTACATATTTCTGACGTTACAGTGTCATTACCGTCCACGTATTATCCAGCTAGGCACCAGCTGAACTAGCCACAGGAGATTATGGTGATGACTGGAGAGTTCACTCACTGCCAGGCAGAGCTCAGGCATCTTTAAAAGAACAACAAAAAAAATCCCCAAACTGAAGAACGGGTATGGTGGGCATTTGTTTTATTTGTAAAGGAGTACACATCTACTCCCTAGAAACATACACAGCACAAATGTCAAAAGGAATTGATCTAATAAGAGATGATGTGCATAAAGGTATTTCTGCATTGCACCCATAGTTAAGCCTGCTAAATACTATTTTACAGTAGGATAGTTGAGATCAGATTGCTTTTAATGATATTTTATCAGTTTGGTGCAATCACTTCTTCGTTCTTTCAGAGAGCCATTTTAAACATACAGCTATTTTAGTAAATATAAGATGAAGTTCAATACAACAGTCTCCTTGCAGAAGGGGACAGGCAGGCATAATGTCACGTGACAAAAACCCTCTCAGTCTACCCACCCGCTTCCTAAATCTCACACAAATCCAAAGCTCCCAATTTTTTCACATTACATTTTCAAGCAGTATTTTTCTGATATGTCAAGAAAAAATGAGAACTTCAAACCAGAAGTTTCTTGAGAACTAAGTTCCGGTTTCATAAATCTAGTACAAGAAAATTATTTATGAAGTTACCTTTGTATCCCAGTCTTTGATACTTATCAGAAGCGTTATGAAAAGGCACTGAAAATCCACCAAAGGAATTTGCTTTAACTGTTTCTCCAAGCTTATTTTAAGTAGCAATAGAAGCAGCAGCAATATATCTTGATCAGTATATCCACCTTGAATTACTGTTGTACAGAAACCTAGAAACTTTAAAAGAAATAAAAAACATTAAAATCTGAAATCGGTTTAGCTTGTTTTAAAGTATGATGAGAACTTAAGTTTTCCACCCTCACATTACAATGCATCTCAAATGATATATTGTTCTTGCCACACTTGTGTACTAACATCTCCCCATCTCCCAGTAACTGCACTCTTTTTTTTTTTTTTTTTTAATACCTTCTGAAGGCTCATCTTGTGAACAATGGCAATATTCCCTGGACACTACAGGAGCAGGAAAGATCCTTCTCCACTGCACAGATGATCCTCATCTAACTGAAAGACTGATAGACTTTCTAAATACACAGGTAATACTGAAAACATAAGCAAGAGATTTTTCCCGACCCAAGTATTATCACATGGGTTACTTACAATATGGGATGTGTGTGCAAATGAGAACACAAATTAATCAAGATTGTGTATTCTGTCTCTAGTGGAGATGCTCCGAGTGCTTCCTCTTCAACTAAGTAATTTTATAGTTAAGAATCTCTAAAGAAATGATGTTAGGAGTACTTCCACAAGGAACTCTGAAATCAGTTATAAAGTCAGTATTTTCACCATACAACCTTAATCACAGAGAACTTGTGAAGTGTGAGCAGCACTTATTCAGCCTACAGTCTCACGGGACACAGTGCATGGATCTAACAGCTCACTTCCACAGGAGAGTCACAGCTCCGCCTGCCCTCCATGAGCTCTCACCTCATTCACCTTGTGCCGCACAGGGACTAACAGTGTACCTCAGAGCTGCACCAGCGCTCTGAGGCAGCATAAAACATACCACCCAACATCAACTCCCCTTCCCGTTTCCACTGGAACACAGAAATGGATAGTTTCTTCTACACGAGGGAGCAAAGACATTTGGTAAAGTGCCACATCTGGAAAAGGGAGGCAGAACTGTGCAGCTGTGAGTGAAGCCAATGGAAGTCAGGAAACTCTAAAGCCTGCAACAAGCCTGCAATAATCTCTGCTGAATGTGAAGCTGAAACCCCAGGATAGCATCTACTCACAAAACATGCCCAGGACTAGATTAAGACACCAGGGTTTTTGCTAAAAAACAAAACAAACAAACAACAAAACAAACAAAAAAACAAACCAAAAGAAAGCAAAAAGCCCCACCACCCCCACCCCCCAAAAAATACCCCCTCACGAAATCTCACCTTAATCACATTAATTAAATTGTTTTCTGGTAGACTGGAGAAGGCTGGACTGGCAGAGGTTAGGTCTCCTCTTGGTTGTTGTTTACTCACTGTTTCTTGCATCTGACTTCTAATAAGAGAGACACTAATCTGAGCAATAAATCAACAATTTACAAGCCCACAAAGGCTTATTTACATCAAACTGAAGAAAAAAAAAACCCTGTGCCTTCAAATCAAAGCAATCCTGAGTTACAGAGCACACACATCTATCTCAACTTGTGACCAATTACTTACAATTTTGCCCAGCTATTTAGGCAACAACGTGGAGGACAAAGGACAACGCTCTGGTTTGCTGAATCCTTACCTGGCAGGCATTGTTCGAAGTTGTGGCTTATTTACTCTTATTAAGACCTGAGCTGAGAATTTAAAGAAGAGCATGGCTTGATGGAAGGGAAGGGAAATAAAGGAGAACCTTCTGATTCTACATTCTAAGCACAAGGCTTGCTTTCACAGGATCTAAGCAATAAATATCAAAAGGAAAACACTTACAAAATATCACACTCGTTAAAGTTGGGCTGAAGATGCTGCAATGGAAAGAGAGATCTAAACGCAACACCCATATTGACAAAAACAGCTGACACATCAGCTAGTGAAGGAATCCATGGTTTAGACTGTTCATCACTGATGGAAGCTACAAGTAAAAGACATGGAATGGATTAGTTTTAAATTTAGTTCTCAGCATTAGTTCCTTTTAAGGGAAACAAATAAGCTCAGCAGTCTGCATCAATTCTACCAGCTCTCATCTCAGAAGAGCTGGTATGTTGAACGATATGCTTATTTTCAGAACGATAGGGCAAGGGGGGGAATAGTCTAGCACAGTATTTAACACTAGAGAAATATCTTGCCTACGTAACAGGTGAATTACTTTAAAATTCCACTCATTATCCCTTACAGCTCTCTTTCATCACAAACAGCAGAATAAGCAAGGAGGCATATTTACTTTTAAGAGAATACATAAATTACCCTTCTGTGTAGGTGCAGGTAAGAGGGTGTTATCATAGTAGGACTGGAAGTGGAGCCAAATAAGATTTGAAAACAGGCAACGTTTCTAGAACAGAAGTGCTAAACGGATGGAATTTATTTATTCGACAGAAATAAGAAACAATGCTCATTGCAAAAAGGACTGATTTGTATGATGACTTGTATCTGAAAGTCTGCAAACTGTACGGAGGATTCTCTATAGGACATTAAACTAGCACAGTAACATCAAACTAGATGTAGTGTTTTCCAAACAGTGACAGAAGTTACTAGAATTCTGAATTGGGTCAATTTTGTGTCCTAGAGCTAAGTTTGCAAGGAAAAAAACAAATATAATGGAACATAACACTCAAGACACTGCAGGTTCAGGTCTCAATGTTCAGTAAAAAAACAACAACAAAAAAGATGCATCCTTAGTTAAGCTCTGGAACAGAATGTCTCAGAATGGTTTAAAGACTATGCAGTGGGCAATTTTAAAGTGGTTAGACAACTTGCCAGGAGCAACTGTAGCCTATTTGATCCTGCTCCGAGGTCAGAGATCTGCTGGGATCTCTCCCAGCCTTAGTTCTTTGAATTCATCAGCTTGAACTGTTCATTCAGAATCAAGCTTAATGCCAGCAAAGCACAAAATAAAGGAGGCTACATTCCCTCTCGCATCAGCTCACAGTCTGATTTCAAACAAGATTCAAAGTATGGGGTACAATTTGGACAGACCTGAGCAAGTACTTCAAGAGAACCACATTACTTTAATGATGTTAACTGGCAGACTTAAATGAATTAATGAGTTTTGATGGATCTGAATAAAGCGAAGACATGGAGAACATACAAAGGAACTTGCACTGGAGAAGTACTCGAGAGTACAGATGAAGGAAGGCAAAGCAAAACACACAAGACACGAGCAGCAGTGTGGGCTGAAGCAGATCCTTGAAAGTGTTTTTGTGCAGGTGTACGATTCTTTTCACTTTTGCCATTTACCTGGAAGGTAAACTATGCAGTGCTACATACTGGGTATGACTACGTGGAAAACATCTTGTAGTCCTTAAGCTATGAAATGAATGTCTGCATCTTCCAAAGTAAAAGATGGAAAGTAAAGTAAACTTTTGAGCACACTGGTCTCCTCTTCAGGTCAATTCTATTTGTGAAATAACAGAAGCAAGTTTAAAAGGCTCTATACCAGATGCACTGCTTTGCAAATACCTGCAAGGACCACATCCTGTGGCACAGCTTGCACACACTCAGTGAAGACCAACTCGTAGCATTTGTGCATTACATAAGTACCAGAAGAGCCTAAGTTCATGCCAGAATCACAGAACAGAGCCAGTGCCTTTTACTTCCTCCCCAATACCTTTCTATACTTAACAGAAGGGAAATGCCTTCAATCAGGTGGTCAGTTTCCCATTCTTCAAATACTCACCATTTTTTAGTGTTATCTCCATCAATCTGTCTAAAATCTGGGTGGAAACACAATAGTCAGGATGAACAGACATCATCTGTGGAGAGAAAAGATGCTACATGTCAAACACCAAGTTGCACAATGGCATCAGTTTTCTTTTAATTAAAAAAAAAAACAAAAAACAAAAAACAACTCTTTGGTAAAATAAAGTAAGAAACAGTAACAGGAAAAAGAAAGAACTCCAAAGCCTCTAAAGCAAGATACACCAAGGAGAACAGAATATTGTGAATATTTATTATTTCAAGCAGTGCACAGATGCTATGAATAGTTTTAAATGAATTATTTGCAATATCAGAATGCTGTAACCCCACACTGAATCTGTTGGTCCGTAAGAAGGTACTGAGGGTTAAGAGAATGGAAAGTATCATGTATCCCTTTGGAACCCATTTGCATCTGTGAGCAAGCCGAGTTCCTTGATCAGGAGCAGGGGCAACAGAGTTCACTACAACCTTTTCCAGTCATGGGCAAGTTGAACATATGCAATACTAAACCAAAACAATGAATTCTTAGTTTTTTCATAGAACTCTTAACTACAAAAACACGACTACAAAGTACAGTTCAGGCTTCCTGGAGCACTTCACTAGCCCAGCAAAAAACTCTTCTTTTTCTCCCCCAAGTGCTGGGCAGTTTCCTGCTCCGTAAGTGAGCTGAATTGGCTCACACTTCCTCCTTATTAGAGGAACACCAGGGCTCACAGAAGGGGTGGAAGGCAATTTTTTACTGGCTGGAGGGAAGGACACGGAGGAGCAACATGTTTCCCTTTAGGCAAAAGCAGAAAGCCAGTCAACAGACCCAGGATGCAATTTGACAGGTGGTCGTCCAGCTTTCTTTTTTGTTTCAGGCACGGTTAGAATGTAGTAAACAAAAAAGAATGCAGATCAGAAAGGGGCATTTTTGCGAGTAACAGAACAATGTAAATTCCTGGGGATTTAGACAGGGACACAGACATCTAGAAAGCAGGCAGCCACCACACTTCCTTTTAGAATGGCTCGACTTTTTCCTGAGCCATAGTGCACGTCGACTTTTTCCAAATGAATATTATCGATAATGCAGGCATCTCTGATGATTTACAAAGTGATATATGCAGAAATGGTACTTTTGCAAACTGGAGCATGTTTGGGGGGGTTTTGTTGTTGTTTTTTAAGGGTGGAAGGAAATAACATTAACATTTGCTTGTGATTTGGCCCACACTATTATATCCTGAAATCTCTTCTCACCTAGCATGTACTGTGCCCTTTTCAAATGCAGTAACACATATGAAGATGCACAGGCATGTGCAGCTTTGCAGTCACTCAGAAAGTGTGGAGAAAAGTTATCCCTAGTGTTTTACCCCTAGTGACAATCAAAGTTATTTCAGACTGGAGAACAAATCAGAACACAGAAAGATAGGGTTTTTTTTATTTAGAAGTTGTTAACCTAACGCAACAGATTCACAAACTTGTTCTGATTATTCCTGCTACAACTGGCTTCCAGGAAGAATATTATACCTGGACAGAATACAACTGCATGAATAGTACAGCCTTACCTGGAAAAGCCACTTCAGAATTGGTATGGGACACAAGATACAACTGTAAGCACAACTTAGAAAACCATTAATAGCTAAAGAAAGCTGCTGTGTTACACCAGAACTGTAAGACAAAGATGGGGGTGGGGAAACAGGAGAAAAATCAATTAGTGGTTGAATCAATACTTTCACAAAAGCCTAAGAACTTCGCCACCCCTCAGATCATCATCAACAGCAAACAAAGATCTGAGCATCCAAAACAGGTATTATTCTTACGCTCTTACCTATATGAAGTACTATAGTAATTAAACCTTATTTGTTATTTAGAACAACCATCTTTTTCTCCAGAATGCCATACTATAAAATTTGGAAACATTTGAATTATTACATAATAATAGCTGCAAACAAACATTGATTTACACTATTGTACTATGAACCATTATGCCTGTCTACACAGATGGACTGCTATGCTCAATGAGACCAGTGGATAAGACTTTTTACTGTCCAATGACCATTTTCAACACTTTTAGAAGAAAAGAGAAAAAGCTTTCTTTGAAATTTTTAAAATAATCTTTGAAATTAAGAGTCTGGAGGCAAACTAAAGCAATTAAAATCAGTCTAATCTCAGTGCGCAAATTTGTGAGGTGCAAAGAGTAGCTGTTGGAAGAACAGAAAATGTGTCATTTTTATTACCGAATTATTTTAGCTTTAGTCTTCTTTTGAAAGTCAGGTATGTCATAAGCAGCTGAATTAATGCTATCCCGTTTCCCACACACCCTTCCTTTAGTCTGCTCTGTTTTCAGTATCTACTAAAACAGGTAGCTCTGTTGAGAGATCTGTGTCCTAACTTCTCCATATACCCTCTACTTGTCTGAGTGAGCAAGTGGCTAGGAAGACATCCACGAGCCAACTGGACAGTCAATACATGCCAGCTGTGCCAACTGGGCAGAACGTGTAAGCAATCAAATCGGAACTGCCTTCTGCAAGGGATGATTCTTTTAATTCCCATTCCTCCAGTCACTGACTTACAAGATACTTTTGAAGCTTATATCCTTGTGATCTTCAAAACATATTAATAAAGAGGCCTGAAGGCAAAGGAGTATTTCACAAACATCACCTCCTCGATAGACGAGGAGAGGCCATCCTCCTCCTCTTCACACCCACAAGAGCACATATACGTGTATACAAAATCCTTTAAGATTAAATGAATTCTCTCAGTTTCACTGATGCAAATTTGGAATAAAATATCAACTGAAATAACCAGAGTTTTTCAGGATTTCCACTTGCGGTATTAGGCAAGAATCTGTCCAGCTATTTGTAGCCTGACAGCCTCATAAATATAGAATACAAGGGATTTGTATGAGTTACAGAACAGTTGTATGTATACACAGAGACACACTGCTAGCTCAGTGACTGAATCTAACAGATGTCAGAAATAGTGACTTTCTGCAATCCTCATTAAGTGGAGCCCTAAGTCCCAGGCCCATTTAGGACAAAAAAATGTAAAAGTCTTTCTGCAGACATAATGCAACATTAGTAGGTCACAAATGAGTTCACCACAAAGGTCCTCTTTCTGTCTTGGGATAGTTAAGCTTTTGTTCATTGTAACGTTTCACTTCTGCATTTATCTTCCACAAACTAGTCAGATTATCAACGATAGCCCAACACAGGAGAAATATGGAAGAGGCCAGAACACCTATTTTTTTTTCTTACGTCTCATATTAAATTTTTTTTCAAGAATTCCAGTACAGGAAAAAAAGGAAGCTTCAAGTAACAATTCACTGTTCTGTAAAGCCAACCTGGAAAGGAGAATTCCAGGGAAAGGGAAGTCAGTCTTGCCTACTTAGTAAGACAGAGCTCATTCGCATGCGAAGATTTTATCTTAAAAACTGCTAACACTGAAGAAAATCATACAAGTAAACACAACAGATGAAGAGGATATTCTTACCTAAGAAGGAGCTTTTCTATAGGATTTTGAGGGATGAAATGAAAATTCCTCAAGTCAAGGTTATGTTGATTGAAGATTTTCCCAGAGGTTGATAAATCAAATATATTTTCTCCAGGGTGGTAGTCAGGTATGGCATGAGCTATTACTGAAAATCTCTTTATAAATGCCCTGTAAAATTCAAAATAGCTTTTATGAATTTACACACCGAGTGGCTATTTTCTGGCTGAGACAGTTATTTTCAGATGAACACATCAGCCTTATGTGAAAGCTGAATTGTTAAAATACAGTAATGTTCAAGAAAACGTGCCCAACCCCGAAAGACAACAAAAATGTTTCACATTAAACATATTAACAACAACTGATGGAAAGAGAGACATTAGAAAAAAAGGCTAGAAAAGTGAAGAACTAGATTTAATTGGTTTTGGACTTGGAAGGACCTATGCTCTTCTGAGAGATCTTCATCTCCACTGGCATCCTCCTCATCTTCTCCATCTGAAGAATCAGTTTCCCTTCCTTGCATGTCTTCCTGTAACCGCTTTTCTAGTTCATCTACCCTGAAATAACAGTAGCAGCAGAACATATCATCACCATTTAATATTTACAACAGAAGACAACAAAATTTAAGCTCTGAATGTGAACCCAGAGATCAACAGCCAATTACACACGGCAAAAGCACGTGAGACATTGCATCTGTGCAAAAACCAAGCATCTTGCTATTCCAAGATATAAAGTGGATGTTTCCCAAAGCCTAATGAATTTCCAACAGCACAATCAATCACTAGATTGTCAGAGACAAATACAAAAAATTCTGTCAGAAGTTGGCTGAGTGTAACTGCACAAAATTTTTAATCATCTTCTGGATATTTTTTACATTTTTTTTTAAACGTCATACTAGTATTTTATTTGTTAAGTAGTTTTAGGTATAAGAGTATTCAGTGCTCCATAGTCAGTCAGCCCATAGTTACTAGGGTCAGAGTCTTTAATAAAAACAGTTAATCACACATACATACCCATCACCACCACTTGCCATTAGTACATACACCACGTTACACTTTCTACTCAAAAAGATCTCTTGCAAGAACACTCATTAGTTCTGTTCGCTGAACTGCATAACTACTCAGATACTGATAGTCACACATACACAACTACATACACAACTTCGGAAACCAAAACTGAGCTACAAATGCCTTTGAAGAAACTAGTACAGTCAGTCTACATAAATACTTCTATTTCATGCCTGACGAGCAGCTGGTAGCTGGCTCAGTAACCTACAACAAAGGCATCAGTAAATTTAGTCCAGCTTTGAGGAGCAGACAGATGTATCACAAATCACTCATTACTGCTTGGAAGGAGCCTGTCATTCAGCTTTTACAGTTAAGCCACACTTGTAGGTCCCGTCAGAGGTAGGTGGCACCAGCAGGCAAAGCTTAGCTTGCTGCTACCCAAAATCCCATCAGTTTCGGGGAGACAAGGTAAATATAAGCTTCTACAACTCCATCCCAAATTTTTCAAGGCAGCTTTAAGAAACAAACCTTTTAGATTCTTCTTTCTCTTTCAAGAGATGTTCTAAGCTGTTCACATATGACACCTGGCTAACAACAGGAGGCTTAGAAAGCTGTAAATGAAACAGTAAGAAATTAAAAAAAAAAAATACCACAAGCTATCAATTCATTCAGTTAGATAATAAACATCATCAAAACAGAAACCTCTTCCAATTTTAATGATATTTTACCTGAAGATAAAAACTCAAAGGAGACCCTGAAAAACAGGATGATTAACAGTTTAGGTTTCTCAGTCCCCTGACAATTTTATATAATGGTCAAATCTCTCTCAGTGATTAATTTAGAAATAACTGTGCTTCACAATGGATCTGAACAGCAAAGCAAGTCTCTGTCTCTCCCTGGGGCTGACCTCCAGCTAACCTTCACAAAGAGCATTAGCATCAGAAGCCTTTTACCTCACAGCTTTATTATTGTCATCCACTGAGACCCTGGGGGAATACCCATTCTCTTGCATGAGACCAGAAACTCCAAAAATGATTCAGTACCTCTTTGTTACTTTCAGGAGTCCCTAGGGGGCAAAGCACCAGCGTTTGCTAAATCACCTCCACAATCATCAGGCAAAACAAAGCTTCCAATCAAAATCCTAATACAAACCCAAATTAAGGAGCTAATAAATAGAATTAAAAACCAAAACAACGCACAAAGAAAGTCTTAACCCCTAGCAAAATTAGTTTGTTTTTCAGTAGCCAGTGTTTTATTCAGCTAGTAGCAGACAACACAGATTTGAAATCTTTTATGGCCACGATTCAGTTCTTCAGACAGGCAGTGCCCTCCTGACGCTGCCTTCTTAAATAGCAAGCCTCTTACGAGTGACAAAGCTTCTTCCTATAAGCTCCTTCATTTTAGGAGAACACAACTCACTAAGAGCATACGCTCTCTTTGGGGATTTTCTATTACCCGAAGGTAAAAGAAGTTAGTTTAAGTAGTTAGTGCCCACCTGCTAATAAAAAAGCCAGTTAATACAGCGTTAATTTTTGGTATTCAGAGATATCTTTCAAATGTAACAAGCAGCACGTCTTTGGGAGGGAAATCTCGTGGGAAATTAATATGCTTAAAACAACTTTTGAACTGAGGAATCAAGACTTTATTCCAATGTGCACATACGCCCCTTCTTACAAGACAAGAGAAGAATGCTAGTATATGCAAAAACCATGGTCATGGAAATTTTGGGACAGTTCTTAACTGTTTTGTCTTACTTGGCCAGTAATTATGCAGAAACAGGAAAGGCCAAATGTTGTGGTCACATTCACGTTCCACAAACATTTGATCTAGGCTGCATCTGTTTATCAGTCTTAACCATTAATTACATAGACATGTTGGTTAAGATGGTGGAATACGTACGTAACCACAGAAGTCTGATCTATATTGTGCTTGCGTAACTAATGGATAAGGAGCAGTAAAATAATTATGCCTGTTCCATATCTGCCTACAGAGATACTCTTTAAGAGAAACTCAGTTATCAAATAAACCATTTCAGAGATTTAAAAACAGGAGACGACAAGTAGAAGAGTATTTACACAGGTATTCTGCTAACCGCAGGTTTGTTTTCTACTGCAGGAAACAGTGGTGGGCTGACCCCAGCCAGCAGCTAAGCAGCACACAGCTTGTTCAGTTCCCCTCCCAGTGGTGCAAGGGAGCGAACAAGAAGAGCAAAAGCGAGAAAAGTCACGGGTCGAGATGAAGACAGTTTAATAAGTGAAGGAAGGGGGAGTGAGGGGGAGAAGAAAAAGTGATGCAAAGGCAATCACTCAGCACCTCCCACAAGCAGAAGGATGCCCAGCTAGACTCCGAGGAATGGCTACATGCCAGACCAGCTCCCTCTGCTTTGTCTTTATTGCTAAGCACAACACTATGTGGCAGGGAATATACCCCTTCAGTCACCTGGGGTCAGCTGTCCAGGCCACACTAAGTCCTACTGCAGGATCTTCCTAATTAAACCATTATTTTACAATAAACTTCAAAATCACAACTTATTTGACAAGCTGTTATTGAACAAATAGGCTAACAAAAAAACCCCCACAGATCAATTTAAAAACACAGATCAATTCACCATAATATCTTGTAAACTGGGATTCAAACACTTCTATCATCCGTTGTGAGAAGTCATTCAGCTTTTTGAAATCCTTTCTAAAATACTTCCAATTTCCATGAAATTCAGCCTCAAAGAAAACATCACACTTACGGATCAAGAACTTGTACACAGATTTCTGACAATCATAGACTGTGACAAGGATATATAACTCAAGTCTAACACACAGATCTCAACAGATAGATCAATTGCCTCTAGCTAACTTCAACTCTCAAAAATGTTACCTGATCAGGAAAATGAAAACATTAGATCCCACGCATCTTCTAAATGTAACCTCCTGCCTTTTACTTTAGGGCAAAAAAGCAAAAACGGAACTCCTAAAAGCCACCAGAAGGCATACAGCTAATGCAATCCATCTGCACAAACCATCTTTCAGCCGTTCCAAGAGCAAGCATAGTAACAAGCACCCTTTCTCTGACTACATTGCACTGTACAGCACAGGACGCTTAAGTAAGCTGAGCAACCAGTTTTGCAGGCAAATAACTCTGTGTTTTCATGAATTATGAATAAAGGAAAAAAATCATATCAAAAATACAATATAACAAAGCTGATGCAACGCTTTTTTTGGTTTTTAGCCACTTACGTGAAGCTTCAGTAATGGAGTCACAGTGTCCTGAGAAAAACTGTCAAGACAAGATTCTTCCAGGGTTCCTGCCTCTGGCTTGGGACTTGAAGACAGAATTTCTTGCAGTGGCATGAATACATCATCATCATCATCATCATCTAGACTGCATTCCAAACTCTCATCTTCACTATCAAAGATGCTTTTTGCTTTTCCATTCAACTTGGACTTGTCTGTACAGGTGCTTTCCACTTTTGACTCGCCTGAGAGTTGTGAAGACATATGGCCGCTGTCCATGCAGCCTTCTTTAAAAGGCAACAAACGCGGAACACTTTCACCAGTCTCTTCTGAGAGTGCAGGTTTCCCAGAACCTTCCATTGAACAAGAATCAGAAGCATTTTCTGAAGTCGTGTTTTTTGTCTTTGAAAAACTGTTGCTAGGTTGAACATTGTAAGTTTTACTGTGTGCACGTCTTTCTGGTCTTTTCCCATCTTGCTCCTCCTGAGCATCCAATACCTGAGATAAGCCAGCATTCTGGAGATGAGGGTCTGCACCTTTTGTTTGTGTTAAGTGGTGGAAAGAAGGCAACACAGTACTTTTTTCCTGAGGAGAAGGAAGGGACTTTTCCAAGAAAAAGCATGAGTTAGCCACCTGCAATTGATTGTCTTTGGTATCCACAACAGAAACGTGGTTATTTTTACCAGGACTGTGCACAGAATATGAAGACGACAAACCTACAGAGGAGCAATTATTCTTCTCATTTTCATCACTTGAGTTGAGGTATTCCTCTGGAAGAGCAGAATCATGTCTAGGTAGAGCAGCAGCCTCCATTAGTTGCAGAACATCACCACAAGTAGACTTTAAAAGGATGTTTTTTACAAAGTCAGACCTCTTATTTTTGCATTTTGCAGATGACCTACTAAAAGCAGGGTCATTCAAACTTGATAATTCAGATTGATTTGAGCTATCTGCATCCACACTCATGGCAGCGTGTTTTCTTTTCCCAGGAAAGTCTATTTGTTTGGATTGCCCAGAAGACATCTTAAGTCTAAGGCAGTGTGAAGGAACAGACTGACTCTTCTGCATACCAGCAGCTATCTCAGATGATGTCCTCAGTGCGTTTGGAGAAGATGCCTCATGTTTTGAAACCTGCTTTGGCTTTGGTTGAGATAGGTCATCTATGAAGCATTCAAGAAAAAAGTAAACCACTGTTCTCACATTTAAAAAAAATAATACTAACAACAAAAATTCAAAACTGTAACAGCTTACCCTTTAAAAAAATAACTTCTGTTTTTAAGTCAACTATGACTGAAATTTTCATCAGGAACTACAATACTTCCATTCTGCTTGAACACAGTGGACCACAATTAAGATTTATCTGATACGGTACTGCTACGTTATTATTGTAACTAACTTGGAAATGAAATTAAATCCTTTTATTTTAAAGCAGCTCAGTAGCCACCGCAGAACACTTTTACTATACACTAGAATTAATCAGTCTTTGGAAACAGCCAATAGCCCAGCCGAGGTATGGGACTGGAAGAATGTTTCAGTAATTACATATAATGGTTATAAATAATGAACATTATGAAAAGTATTTTGGAAATACTGCAATAATTTTAACAGTGCTCATAAAAAGCATTCAGAATATCAAGAAATCTGTTTCCAGCCTATGGTTCTATGGCACCAGAGCCCACCTCCCTCACCACGCTTTTCTGCTTCCTGCCTTAAGCTGGCACTGGCACCTGGACACTTCACGGCAAGCTACTGCATGGAGCTGACGTGGCTGAGAACTTCCCAACTCAATTTTCAGCCAGATCAGCTCCTCGCACTGCTGGCCAAGTCCCAGTGCTAGCACAGGCAGAAAGTGAAGCATAGCAGCGGAGAGTCTGACAGGTTTACACAGCCCTGGACCCACAACATGGGAATACTGAATACTCTTCTTGTTTTGCCCCCCTCTTTTTTTTTTTTTTGATCATCCCACTGACCTAGCTCAAGCTTCTATTCACGTGAGCTTTTTATAATCAGTTCTACCTACTGTAGAACAAAATTATGTGGTTAAAAGGGACAAAAAGCAACAAGAATACCAGCTAAACTTTAGTGTTCTGTTCAACAAGGATGTTCTTTCTGGATTAAGCTGAAAGGCAAAATTTGTTAACTACCACAGTAAATGTGGATTTTCCAAAACGCAAGAGAAACCATAAAAATAATTAGGGATTAAGGGTTTAAGACAAAGAAATATCATGACTTAAGTTACAAACAACCTCTTTTTCACTAAACTCCCAAATTTTAAACCTCTTCAAGCTTGCCATATATTAGAAATAACCTCGACTATACAGCAGTAATTTTTTTTTTGAGAGAGAGAAAACAGAAAAACATAACTTCTAGAAAAAAAAGCCATTAAGAAGAGACACTAAGTGATGAACCTGATTGTTTAATTAATTCCATATTATCAGCACTGCTTCTACCTGAGGCAGTCTCCCTTGAACCAGAATGTGGTATTTTTCTTAAAGGACATCCATTTCCCTAAAAATAAAGATGGAGAAAACAAAAAAGTTAATTGCATAGTTTTCAAAACCAGGATGTTGACATCTTGAGCCAAACGTTGAATCCAGCACAGACTCAGTTCCACACATCCCCAGAAATATGGCAATATACTTCATTTCAAGACAAACGTAAAACACAGCTGCAAAGATCTCAACAAAAGGACTCTCCACAACCCAAATTTTATATCTTTTCTTCAGATTGGCCTCTGGTTCTAAATCTCTCCGCTTCTAGGGCCATTAGCCACTTGCGTCCCTGGGCTATATGGCAACATAGCCCAGCTGGCTTTCTTCAAACAAGTCATTAGAAACTTAAATAACAAAATGACAGAAAGCACAGACAAGCAAATACACAGGGAGGGGTGCCAAGGCGAAAAGGAAACGCAAGCTAAACAATCTTTTTCGTTCCATTCATAACACATTATGGAGGGACACATAATGATCTTCCTTGCAAGTAACCTTTTAAAGGGTTTTCTTGGTTGGTAAAAAAGTGAACATAATGCAACCTGTAATGAAATACTACATACTTAACAGGACCACTCCCACATCTATCTAAATACTGTGGCTTAAGTGCATAAATCTGAACTGCTATTAACTGCAACTTCAAACTAGCACAAATTTGCCGGGCTGTTCCCTACCCTACAATGTAAGAAAACACAAGGTTATAAGACATTTAAGATAATAAAGACATTTTCTCTACAAAATACAATTTAAAGTTACAACTTCCATTCCATTTTCATGCTTGCATCTAACGCGGAACATCTCTGCATTTGAAAAAGGATTTCTCATTTATTGTAAAATAGTTAAGAATCAGCTTACCCAACCATGACCTAAGATTTACAAAGGAATAGCAAAAGAGCATAAACTTTTGTTACATCTGAAAAAAGACAGCACCAAGAATCTCATCCTACATTGCAAAAGAAAAAACAAAAACAGCAACAAAAAACCACATGCACAATGGGTCACCAATTTCCACCTTTAGCGACCCTTTTAAACACACCTGATGTGATAGACTTGTTCCTGAGAACGGCTTTACAGGATGTGGCTTAGATTGTTTCATTTTACGTTTCTTCCGCTTCCTTTCTCTGCGGAGAGCTTCTGGTGACAACCTAAATTCAGCGTCAGTTGGAGTGCAGGACAATTTCATGGGAAGCCCTGGGTTTTGGCACAGAGATGCGTTGTTCGCAGTGACATTACTTCTAGCAGAGGCTTTTCGAGAATCAGCTTCTGATGATGAAACCCATTTGTCCGAGTCTGAACTAGTGTCTTCCAGATCCATACAGTCAGTTTTCTGTTCCCAACTATTTCCACAAGACAAGGGTGCTCTTGTTACACCCAGAGACTTCTCATTTCTTCCCTGTTCTGACTTGGCCAAGAAACAGCTGCGAGACCCTGCAGTAATAAGGAGTTTTTGAATCACAACTTTTGGGTACAATGAATCCAGTGCCTTGCATGCTCTGCCATTCTCTAAAATGTTTACACTGTCCTTTTTCTTCTTAATTCCTCTCCGAAAGGCATCTACCACAGGACTTGTGTTTGGTGTTTGGTCTGGCATCTTTTTTCTTCTGACCTTCTTTGGAGAGGATATTTTCTTTTCAAAACGTTCAGCGCATAAAACTGACAGTCCGATTCCTGCATCTTTTACATTTCCTCTGTCTGGTGAACACAACACAGTTCTGTCTTTATGGCCAAGGTCTAAGAGAGAAAAGAAAAGACAAATTATTCACAATCACAATATTGGGGAAAAAAAATATCTTATTGGACTATATTACTATTACTTGATATTTTATCTCTCACATGCAATCCAAAATGAATCTACTTAATCATTTAGTTTTGCTAGTGCCATGCACTTTATTTCATATAAAAGAATTGCATGATCTATGTTACAGCTTCAGTTGTTATAAACAACCTAGCTTAACCATAAAACAATAACTTGAAATAATAATTACATCGCTATTTAAAGAAATTAATTTTAATAAAAAATTAACATTTTCAGTTATATTATTAGGAAAAAAAATTTAAAAGTGCTCAGTTTGACATACTTGGTAAGCTATACTCCTTATATTGCTGCTCCAATTTGGAATGAGATTGGACTATACTTCTGCACCCTTATATAATTAAAACTCATAGAAATATATTCCATTTAAAAAAACATATATTTACCTTGGTTTAAAACTGGTTTGAAGAACTCTGTAATGGCGTGGTTTCTGAAGAGAAAACATAACTTTATCTTTTTAAAAGAACAATACCTAAATACCCATACAGTGAACACTGATAAAACTAAAAGGCTGTAAGTTATTTCTACAGGTTGTTTTTTTTTAGTGTGAGCAGCTCTTATTTCTGATAGCTCTTTCTGATAGGTCATCATCCTCCTCATTGCTTTCTAGCCTTCACTCTGCTTTGCTAATGAAGCCAACCTATCAGTTTCCTCACTCAGACTGTTTCCTTTATCATCCCAGTAAGTCTTAACCACCCTTCCAGCTTAAACCAAGCTTCCTTAAATGGGACTGACCTCACCTGTATCCCATATTCCAGATGAGACCTCACCAGTACCTTATGTGATGGTGTTGACAACCTCCCCATCTCCACTGTCAACACTTTGAGCTGATAATTCCTACTATAATTTTTTTTAAGGTGTTATAGTGGTAAGCAGCTGGCCTTATCAATACCATCAGTGACCAAACCCTCTTAATGCATTATTAGTTGCAACCAAGTCTAACCACAAAGTTCTAGCTGCAAGTTGTAAAGTTCAGCTAATCCTGTAACTTTCTCCCTGTTGTCCAAAAGCCTTTGTGCACCACTGTTTGTTGCTTTTTCACACATCTGGTGCCAGGCTGGGATGCAAACTCCTATCCGCACTGTTACACATTTCTGTTTTGAAAAAAAACAAATCCTGCCAGCTATAAGACCCATGCATCTCCACTGGGGCAATTCCAGTGAACTAGATAGAGAATTAAATATATTACATGTGATCTCTCTGATGTTTACTTATTTTGTTTATAAAAATCAAAGAGTACTTCCCCCCGCTCCGCCCCATTGGTACTGTAGGTTATGGAGTGACTCTCTGTGGTGGGCTGACCCCAGCCAGCAGCTAAGCACCCACACAGC